TTTTATTTTTTTTAGATCTTGTTTTTACCTTAGATTATAATAGAAATGTGCAGAATTAAATGGACAATGTCACAGATTCTCTCACAGATTCACGAAGTTCAGGTTCTCTGAGAGCAGAATTAACTGGACAATGTCATAAATATTTAGATCTTCCAAACTCTTTTCCCAAGTGTAACAGGGGTCTCTGGATTTACAGGTACCAAGTGCTCTAATATTTGGCTGTGTTTAAAAACCCATATGGAATTCACTCTGAATGAAGCCATGTGAAAGAAAAGAAGTGAAAGCGTGTTTATCTTGGTGTTGATGTTTCCCTTAATACATTCCTCATCTTCCTTCTGTTTGTGCCCCACTCTTCCCATTTGAGTACAAATGTAATATTTTTATTAGATCTGATTTGGAATCAGCTTCAGTTAAAAATACTGGTCTGTTTCTAAAAATCCTGCCCACTGCCCGGGTACTAAAGCTGACTTTCCCTCCAGTTTTTATTTTTGTTTTTGCTTTTTTCGGGGGGGGAGGGGCAGGGGTTGGCAGTCACATTTTTCAGGATTTTTAAGATATTCTTGCCTGTAGTCATGTGACATGTACAAGCAAAGGAAACTGACTGCCTATTCAAAGAAAACTGACTATACGAAGTAGTGTTATGCACAGTACAGAAAATGAAAAAAACAACCCTGTATATTTTCTTTAATTATTGCTTTTATGGTAATATTAGGCCCGAGTCTGAGAATGAGCTTCTGTGCTGTATGCTGAAGTCACTAGGGCTTTGCATAGAAATAGACCATTGCAGAGTGGGGGACAAAGGAATTGCTAATCATAACACAAAGTAAAAGATATTCAGATGGAATTGATTTCTCATTTTAATTCGACCAGTGTCCTACTGTATATTTGTGTCTGAAATTTAGATGGCCTTTGGTGTGTATTTATTACTGAGGAGTACAGAGTTTTGGTTTTTCCTGTTGAGGTCCCACATGTTGCCTGAAAAAGAGGATACTTAAGATGAGTGTGTCAAAGATACGGAGCTCCTCCATCTGACTTGCTGGACCCCCCAGTAAGCCTTGTAGTTTGGGAGCCTGAGCAGTGGTGAACGAGGCATGCTGCAGAATCCTGGCCCTCGGCAGCAGGGGTGCAAGTGTCTCCATGTGGCCTCTGGCCTCCTAATAACCAGTTCCCCACGTTATCCTTTATGAGTGCTCCCTTTATCCTTTAAGAGTGCTCCCTCACAGGTACAGTTTTCTCCACTCTTCTTCTGGAATCTCTTGCAGAAGGAAGACATGCATTTTGTCAACTCTCAATTGTGAAGTTGTTCATTTATAACTTCTCAGTTTCCTGCCACTGAAACTTCTAGAGAAACTTTCAAGGCCTGGCTTAATAAGATCATTAATGTGGAGCTTTGGGAACATCTGAAACATAAAGTAATTCAAGCTAGAGAAAAAACCAAGTCCTCTGTGAATTGTGTTACGTTCTACTGGCAAGTCTAGTTTTCTGTTAACAGCTGCTTGTCAGAAGAAATGGGCGTGGTGGTGGGCAAGGGACTTGGTGCCAGGGATCCAAGATCTCACGTGGGAAGGGCTATATAAAATGTCCTTGGTTCCTTGTGCAGACTGTACCCTTTGGTGTTTACAACCGGGAGTTAGCTCAAAGCCAAAGAAACCATGAACTGGAACATGATAAAAGCAACAGGCAGGAACTAGGAAACTAACAACAGAGAATCAAAGACCTAAGGCTAGAAGGGCATCTGTCCTGTTGAGTATCCTGCTAGACACTGAAAGGGCTGCTCCTTCTCAGCAGGCAGTCCAACCCATGTAGGTAACTAGGGCCAGTTGGAAGTAGTTAGGCCATTGGCAGGTAACCCAAAGTAGCTGGGGCTTCGACTCCTGACACCAGTCCTAGGTGTTAAGCAGCAAGGAATTGATACTGCATGGGTCCAGCACTTCATTTTTTGTATTTTTGTTTTTAGTATTCTCATAAAGTACCCTTTTTACAAGTACTGTGTTACGAGGCTAGCCTTTGCTAACTTTAATAATCTTGATGGCTACTTGTTTTTATAGGTCGCTGCAGCAGCTGGTCACACGGTGGTCTTAGTGGACCAGACAGATGAAATTCTGAAAAATTCAAAGAAAGGAATTGAGGAGAGTTTGAAAAAAGTAGCAAAGAAGAAGTTTGCAGACAAACCTGAGGTGAGATTTTGGTATTTATAACCACTAAGCCAACTTCATTGACTTTGATAAAAATTCTGCTTTAGTAGTTTTAATGGTTGACAATACTATATTTACTCAAATCCAAGATGACTTTTGAATTTAAGAAAACCTGCCAATAGCTAGATTCCATACATGGAAAACTTACAATTTTGTAATAATTTTCTATGTATAGTATCTAATTATTTACGGGTTGTCTAAAATTCTTCCCCTCCCCCGCCCCACTGCTACAGCGGGAAAGCAGTGGCAAAGGAGCAGGTGGTAGAGGTCAAGCAGCCTGACCCCTGCTGTCTGTCCCCTTCCTCCAACCCCTGTTTGTCCCCCCCTGCCACATGCTTCCACATCATGCCTGCCTTTCCTGCAGCCTCTGTCCCCCTGCTTGACCCCTGACACCATGGTAGTGGAAACAGCTCTGGTGTCCTGGGATTGGAACTGCTGCTGTTGCAGCCACGAGGACATGGCCAGACCAGGGCCAGAGCTGCCATGTATTCTATGCCTCAGGCTGGAATGGGCCTTGAGCTGTAACTGATGGTAAGTGATGGGGGGCAGAAGCTGTGGGGTGCATGTGGGGCAGATGACTGTGACTCTGCCTCTGACCCCAAGCCTGGTATAGTTTCACCCATAGACAAGCTGCAGGATCTCAGAATGGAGTATATAAGGATCTCTCTTCCGTTGTACTGGGTCTCCATTCTCCCTTGTTTAAACCCTGCCTTTATATTTGATCTTTGTCCTCATAAAGTATGTCAGTGGTTAACAGCTTTGACAGTCAGATGAGAGAGGGAGAGATTAATTTTTCCTCATTCCCAGAAGACCTCCAGTACAGTGGCTTTTCCTTATAAGACATTTAATTTTCTGAGGTGTCCATGAAGTTCTGTGAGTGATAACAATGAGTTGGGAACCCTGATAAAGCTGATTTATACAAGGAGGAACGGGAGAAGTTGTTTTTCTTTTGCTGAGAGCAGGTCAAAACCGTCCTGGGAAAGTACTGATCTGAGAAATGGACTGTTCTTTGGAATTCTCATTTTGAAGGTCAGAGTTGGGTTGGGAAGAAAATGGTCAATTTAAAGGAATGAATTAAAGGTTCTTTCTATTTGGTTCTGAAATTTAACCTAACAGGGAAGTTTAGCGAATCTGTGGAAGCAGAGTATTTGCATAGACTTTACATGTTTAACTGACTTGGAATACAGTATCTAGTGTATCACTTAAGTTCAGAGCTCAATAAATAATTTTGTTTCGTTTTTGAAATATGGGAGGTTTCAGATAAAAACATATGAAGCATTATATACATGATTTAGTGACACCTTTGTAATTTTTCAGGCTGCCACTCAGTTCATTGAGAGTACCTTAAAGAACTTGACAGTGAGCACAGATCCAGTAGCTATTGTACACAGCACTGATCTTGTGATAGAGGCTATTGTGGAGAACCAGGAAGTGAAAAATGACCTCTTCAAGAGACTGGACAAGTTTGCTCCAGAGTATGTATATTTATGCACTCCTATAAAAAAAACTTAAATGGTGATAGAATCCAGTTCATTATCTGTTATGTTTTGAACCTTCTACATAGTATCTTGTTCTTTAAGTGGCTGTTAATTTTGTCATTTTCTCAGCATCTGCACTTAGAGGGAGCATTTGTTAGGCTGGATCTAACTAGCATCTATCACATGATAATAGAGTATTGGACATGTCAGTTGCAGATGTTCAGACTTTGTAAGAAGTATTTGCCACCTTATTTGGGGGATTTCATTATATGTAGAACTAGAAACGGGTTTATGACAGATTCTATCTCTTCGCTGGGTTTTCAGTATGCTTTTCCAGGTCATTTTTTAGTTATTCTGACGATAAGGTTTTCTTACCAGGAAGAAATGTGAAGCGTGGGGTTGTCTTTCCTTAGAACAGCAGCAGCTTTAGTTTTCTTTGAATTTGTGCATATATTGATTGTGCTGATAACTCAGATACTTCATTTTTAACATTCATTTACCATACAGTTCCAGAGATTCAGTTCTGCATTGTATCTGAGAGTTACATTATTTCTCCATTGATTATTCACAGATAACATTATCCTGATGAACTAAACAATCTTTGTTCACTGATTGACACCTGAAACCACCCCCCCATCTTTAAAATAGAAATTGACTTCTGAAGGGAATAAAGAAGCAATTTTTCAGTCTGCGTTTGTGAGCAAAGATTAAAAAGATACTGATAAGCCAGTGAACCATCTAGAATGAATTATTTAACTAAAGTCCCACCCTCCTGCAGCTGCTCACACCAAAGAGGTTTAATCTTTACTGCTTTTATAGAAATGGAGATCTAAGAGTTCCTGTCCTAAGATAGAAATATTATCAATAACTTTTTCAAGTGAATAAATAATTGAGAGGGCTGCGGGGAGAGAATCGTGACTGCAAGTCTAAGTTATGACATGCTTTTCAGAAACTGCTGCTCAGTTTCACATCAGTAAAGAATTAGCAAATATTGGTATCACATCTATACAGCCCATGTGCTTTTAGACAGAGATATCTGTCTTGGTGTTGGGGAGCAGTGGAATGCCAGCAATGATGTACCATTACCTTGTAGTCCTGTATTAAGATGGCTGAACTAGAAGTATCTATGGAAAGCCAAAACCAAATATTACAGTAGAACAGTAAAATAAAGTTCTGGTGCAAGTATGGGGAAGAGTAACACTGATATTGTTGTGGAACGAGTTGTCCCAGATCTCAAAAGGAAGGTAGTTATTTAAATTGGGAAGAAATTGTATGGGGTGTCCCTGCCCTCAGTGAAAAAGATTTTCCCCTTCCTATCTTAGATTTGGCTAATCATTAGTAACAAAGGCATAGGGGTGACGTTTTTTTCTGTATCTTGCAAAGTTAGATGTGAAGTACCTACTTTAGACTACTTCAAAAGGCAAAGGTCACTAAATGGCAAGTATTTGGGGGAAAGGTATTCTCCAGGAAAAGACTCCCCTTACAGACTAGCTTCTCCCTTTTAAAAGTCTCTGTACAAGTTCTGATAGAACTTGAATCCATCTGGGTGGTTCACAACCCACTTAATTCGGGTTGCCAAATTAAGGATGAACCACTCGGCTCTTTGCCATGATTGCTACTTCAAAGTGCACCAATCATCTGCAGCTCTTCAGCCATCCCATGCAGCCAGCCAAAGAAGTGATGCTCCTTGAAATTAAAGCTGCGATAATTAGCTGGAGCACCAAAGCGATCCTGTGCAGCTTTTCTGTACAGCCCTGATTACCTCACAACTTGCCCGATGTAAGGGGTAAGGAACCTCTCACCCTGCTTATTATCTTAACTTGCATCCTGTAACCGGGGACGTACCTAGACTCCTGGTAGCTCCTGGCAAACTTTTAGTATCCCTCTTTGCCAGAGATAATGATTTTTTCTTGCATTTTGTTTTATTTCTGAGCCCCCTTTCTGTCCAGGCCCTGGGCAGCCACCTGATTCACCCATGCCTCTGTCCGGCTCTGCCTGTCACCTCAAATGTCACTTCTTTAGATCCAGGTAGAGAAGTATCATGAAGCTTGAGTGAAAGGCCATATGAACATGAGTATAGCCAGGAAGTAACAGAATATTCATCATTGTAGGATCTCAACTGGCTAAGGATTAAAATTATGACTAATAACTAAAGATTGGATGCATGTAGGCATCCATTGTAGTGCCTAATTTAACTATAAAATAGGACACGTTGCTTCTTAAACACAGTTTGGAGAAATGTTTGGAGAAAAACTATTTTATAGCTGCCATCAACCAGGAAGAAATTTATTTGCTATCTATTGTGGTCAGGACTTCCTTGGAGTTCCAGCAAATAATTGACTTTTCAACTCTGAAAGGTCCATGCTCCAAAACTATTGGAGCTTCTCCTGACAAAGAGTTAATCACTGACTTAACAGTTAACAGTTGCCTAGGCATCAGTGATCTCCATGTGGTTAGTTTAGCTTATGCAAACAGAGCATAGCACTGATTAGTAACAAACATTTTGGAGCTTTTAAAAGAGGCTGCCTTTCCAAAGCTGGTATAACAGACAGTGAGGTTTAAATTTAAGGTGTGAATTAAAAAAAAACCAACCCACCCAAACAAACCTTTGGAATTGTTAAAGGTTGTCCTTGCCTGGCAGTTCTAAAAATAAGTTTGACAAACATTTGTGTAAGATGGATTAGATAGTGATGATCCTGTCATGAGCAGGGTCTTGGACTAGGGCTGCTGACAAACATTCAGTGAAAGGTGTGATGAGATCTGATGCACGCTTCCTGCAGCTGTGCTTTCTGCCATACCTTATGTGCATGGCAGGAAGCACGGTTGTGGGATCGGGGATTAGATCCTGATTGTGCTGTATTGCCGGTGCAGGAGGAGTCCAGGATCACGTTCCTGAGCTCCCCCTGTACTGGTGAGTAGCAAGGTATTTGCATATTTTGTGCAATAACTTTGGCTTATTCCTTGTTTTATCATCCCATTAATAGAATGAACATGTGGCTGGGGCATTACTTAAGATGTGATTAACCAGTCAGGGGCCTAGGTGACCTCTGTAGGTCCCTAATAGCCCTATTTTTCTGTGATTTTTACAGAATGGTCCAAAAACAGGATTCTGTAGACAGGAAAAATTAGGCTGGGCAAGAAATGGAGATGTGGAAGTGAGCTTAAATGCATATTAATTTTATTGATTCCACTGGCATCTCTGAATGGACACACACTTGAATTTACTTCTGTTCTCATTCTTTTTATATTCTAATATAATAAAAGGCTTAGTACTTCAATCTGACTGTCCGTAACACTGGGAGCCAACTATATACCCACCCTAGACAGGGCAGGTGGCAATTGGCTGCATGGGTCATTGGCATTTTATTGATTTCACTGCATCTCTAAATGGTTACTTGCACTATTTTTGTGTAAAGTAGTGTAAGTACTATTTTATGTACATATAAAGGATGAGAAAAGGAGAAGTAAATTGAACTGAATATAAAAAATACAAGTGACTATTCAGAGATGCTAGTGGAATCAATAAAATATCAATGACCCATGTAGTGAGTTGAAAAAATTCTTATAAATATGCTAGAAACAAAAGTCCTGAGAGGTCAGGTGATGATTGTAGGGTAAAATTGTAATTTGTGGTATGGAAGGAAGAAAAAGTGTTCATTAACTATTTCTTTTCAATATTTGCAATGAAGCAGGAAGGTCTATTCCATCACATATGCTGATGTGGATGGAATGGAGAGAATATGACATTACCCTTAAGGGTGTTACAAGACAGTATCTACAAAAAATTAAACATCTAAATCAATAGGCTCAGATATTATGCATGTAAGAACCTAAATAAAGAAGCTAAAGAGATTTCTGAACCATTACAACTGATTTAAAATACATCTGGGAGATGAGGTAAATTCCAAAGAACTGGAGTAGTGCTGATGAAGTTCCAGTGTTTAGAAAGGATAAAAGGGACCACTAGCTCTTATAGATGGGTTACCCAAAGTTTGTCCTGGGGAAAATGATGGAATGGTTTATTTGCTATTTCAGTAGCAGGTTTAGAGGCTAAAACATAATTAATGCCGGTCATCATGGTTTCATAAAAGATAGGGCTTGTCAGAGAAACCTTCTGTCTTTATTTTAACATGATTACAGTTCAGGCTGGTAAAAGTAGTTTTGTTGCTATGGCATACTTAGACTTCTCTAAGGACTCCTCCAGATGTAACGTTTCTTACAGATTAAAAATGAGTCACACAACTTTTTTTTAATCTGCCAGATGTTCAGGTGAGTTATCTCTCAATAAAAATAGCAAAACAGCCATAAAGCTGTTGTGCATTTAATGTAGAACATCTTTGTGGCTGGTTTGCATCACGTTTTTAATTCTGAACATGTGGCATGTTAAAGTTTCATTTTGCAGCCTCATTCTCAGCAGCCCACAGCCCAGCGCAGGGCTTTGGGCTGCTGAGATGTGTACTGGACCATGGGCAGCTGGCTATGGGGGAGCTCTTCCATGCTGTTACTGGCATGTGTGTTGTCAACAACGCATGGGCTTTGTATTGGGGATGTCTGTGTGCCATTTCAAGGTGTACAGTGCAGGCAGTTGTGGACTGGATAGTTCCCTGGTCCACAGCTGTCCACTGTGGACTTTTACTAGTGCACATGCAGCTGGGTGTCAGGTAGCTCCCTGACTCCCAGCTCCTCTCACCCAGGTGGATGGGTGCTGCCAGCTGCATGCCTGGTAGATGTACAGTTGAGGATCTTACAATTTTTTCATGGATACCCAAAATAGCATGTTGTGCCATGCTCACATAGCATTGCTGGATATGTGATTTTTGGGATCCATGATAAAATTAGTCAGTCCCAATTGCAGGATCAATTTACCATCTGGATTGGGCCCAACCAGTGGTTTTTCTATCTCTTTGGGCTGCATACCCCTTTACCTTCAAAATATTGCTGTTTGTACCCTCTAGACCTGACACATCTCTGTTGACACCAACATCAACACAGCAACA